ACACAGTTGTCTTCAATAAATATTCCACGTATATAAAGGCACGGCGTTGTTCACCTGTTATCCTTACAGCCTGGAATAATATCTAGCATATGTTATGTTTAGATAAGCATTTAGATACTTAAGTGAATAACAAAATGAATTAAAGCTCATCTGAATTCGTGATGGCTGAGAAAAGGGGGGCAGGAGAGCATTTTCTGCCTCAGCACAAAGAAATTTGGGGGCTTCCTGGGAAGAGAGCGGCTTGTACCTGTCCCCCGCCCTCCGGGAAAAGCAGTGTGTCTTCCAGCACCACTTGGAAACCGCTCAGCACTTCCTTCTTGCCGTTGCTCCCTTCAGTCTGCAGCTCCGCGGGATGGCAGGAGACCACGGTGGTGGTGAACTGAACAGAGAGGGATGAGAGAATAAGCCTCGATCCCAGCCCTCTCCACACCGGGACTGAATCCCATGTTGACACTCCCTCTACCTGGCGCCCTCTTCCCCAAACCGCCTTATCGGCCCAACAGTCTCAAGTGCCTCGCCCAGGACGCCGCACCTCTCGGGCATAGCTGTCACGCTGACACCGGAAGGCCATTGCTGTAGGCGAATGGGGAAGCGCACGCGCAAAGAAGCCTGTGAGCGAACGGAGAGCGACTTAGGACAAACGTCATTAAGGGCGCATGTCTGCGCAGAAGCAGGAGTGTAAAGAATGGAATGCGATTTCGATAAATTTACTGAAAACACGAATTGTCGATTTGCTGGGTTGCTGCGACTGTTCTGAGGCTTCACAAAGGACAAGACCAGGAGACAAAAAAATACAAAATTACAAAAAAAAACGCGGCCTGGACAAGGCACGTTGTTTAGTGAGCCCCTTTGGGCCCCAGGGATGTAAGTATTCTGGCTGCGGAATCCAGCTGCTTAGAGGGACTAGCTGGCATGGTTACTGAGGAGCGCTGCCCAGTAAAAACAGAATGCTGGGGGCGGTGGCTCACGCCTGTAATCCCAGCATTTTAAGAGGCCGAGGCGGGTGGATCACCTGAGGCCAGGAGTTCGAGACCAGCCTGGCCAACATAGCGAAACTACCTCTCTGCTAAAAATACAAAAATTAGCCGGGCGTGGTCATGGGCACCTGTAATACCAGCTACTCGGGAGGCTGAGGCAGGAGAATCGCTTGAACCTGGGATGTTGCAGTGAGCCAAGACCCCACCATTGCACTTCAGCCTGAGCAACAAGAATAAATCTCCCATCTAAAAAAAAAAAAACTTTTGGTTTTCAGAATTGTAGATAAAGAGATATGTGCTATAAAGGTTCAAGTCTCAACTCTGCCATTTATTATGACCTGTTTCACCACCTATGAAGAAAAGACCTACTTTCATTTTTTCATGAAATCATATATAAATACCTAGTAAGTTGTAAGACATGATAGTAATATAGCTTTGTATTATCAGTTTTTAAAAAAAAAAAAGTTTTCAGACCGCTGGGAGCTTCTGGGTCCTGTGGTTACGCTTATAATTCTCAGCCCTTTGGGAAGCCAAGACGGGCAGATCACATGAGTTCAAGAGTTAGAGACCAGCATGAGCAACATAGTGAAACTCCCTCTCTGCAAAAAATACAAAGATTAGCGAGGCATGGTGGAGCATGCCTGTAGTCCCAGCTACTCAGGAGGCTGAAGCAGAAGGATGGCTTGAGCCCAGCAGGCAGAGGTTGCAGTGAGCCAAGATCCTGCCACTGCATTCCAGCCTGGGTGATAGAGTAAGACCCCTGTCACCAAAAATAAATAAAAATTTTTAAAAATAAGACTGGCTGGGCACGGTGGCTCACGCCCGTAATCGCAACACTTTGGGAGGCCAAGGTGGGCAGATCACCGGAGATTGGGAGTTCAAGACCAGCCTGACCAACATGGAGAAACTCTCTCTACTAAAAATACAAAAAATTTATCGAGGCATGGTGGCGCATGCCTGTAATCCCACCTACTTGGGAGGCTGAGGCAGGAGACTAACTTGAATCCAGGAGGCAGAGGTTGCAGTGAGCTGAGACCGTGCCATTGCACTCCAGCCTAGGCAACAAGAACAAAACTCCATCAAAAATAAATTAAGTAATTAATCAAATTAATTTTTTTAAAGTAAACAATTTGGCCAGCCTGCCCAACATGGTGAAATCCTGTCTCTAAACATACAAAAACATTAGTCAGGTGCGATGGCATACACTTGTAATCCCAGCTATTCGGGAGGCTGAGGCAGGAGAATCACTTGAACCCAGGAGGAGGTTGCAGTCAGCCAAGATCATGCCAATGCACTCCAGCCTGGGCGACAGAGTGAGACTCTGTCTCAAAAAGAAAGAAAACCAGTTTGGGCTGGGCACAGTGGCTCACACCTGCAATCCCAGAAGTTTGGTAGACCAAGGTCCCTGGATCAGTTGAGGCCAGGAGTTTAAGACCAGCCTGACCAACATGGCAAAACCTTGTCTGTACTAAAAATACAAAAATTAGCTGGGTGTGGTGGCAGGTGCCTGTAGTCCCAGCTACTTGGGAGGCTAAAGCAGGAGAATCGCTTGAACCCGGGAGGCGGAGGTTGCTATGAGCTGAGATCCCACTACCGCACTCCAGCCTGGGTGAGAGAGCAAGACTCCCTCTCAAAAAATAAATAAATATAAAAGCAAATTAAACCAGGTAGTAATTTTTATCTTGTCAAATATCTGAAAAGTTTTAGAGAATGTAACACTCTCATTGTTGGTAGGAGTGAGAATTGGTATGATTTCATCAAAGAGCAACTTGGTAAAGTCTATCAAAATATTTAAATGTATTTTATCTACTCTCTGACCTAGCAATTCCACTTCTAGAAATGTACCCTACAGATATTCTGGCAAACATATGTAAAGATCCACATTTTCTTTTCTTTTTTTTTTTCTCTTCCAATTAACTGTATTAGTCTGTTTTCATAAAAGATCCACATTTTTATTTATTTTATTTATTTATTTATTTAATTACCCAAAAGATTTAGGATTTTTTTTTTTATCCACATTTTAAAATGTTGATTGCAACATTGTTTGAAAATGGTAGCCGGGAGCGGTGGCTCAAGCCTGTAATCCCAGCACTTTGGGAGGCCGAGGCGGGTGGATCACGAGGTCAAGAGATCAAGACCATCCTGGTCAACATGGTGAAACCCCGTCTCTACTAAAACTACAAAAAATTAGCTGGGCATGGTGGCGCGTGCCTGTAATCACAGCTACTCAGGAGGCTGAGGCAGGAGAATTGCCTGAACCCAGGAGGCAGAGGTTGCAGTGAACCGAGATCGCGCCATTGCACTCCAGCCTGGGTAACAAGAGCGAAACTCCGTCTCAAAAAAATAAATAAATAAAGGTAAAAGACTGATGACCTAACTGTCCTTCAATAAGGAACCTGCGAAATTATGAAAAATACATTCAATGGAATACCAGGTAGCCATGAAAAAAAAATGAGTTAGATCTGTATGTGCTGACTTGTAAAGATCTCCAATATATAAAGTGAAAAAGGGCACAGTGCAAGGTTTGCATGGTATGATTCCAGTTGTGTACACACACACATCACATTTGCTGATAATTATGATTAAATTTTAATATACTGCATATAAACAATATATACTATATATGTTTATGTTCCATGCTATGTATTGTTTTGTATATTATATAATTATACCTTAAAACTACATAGTATAAAATAAATTATAGGTATTATAGTATTTATAATGCAGTATGGGGCCAGGGATGGTGGCTCAGGCCTGTAATCCCAGCACTTTGGGAGGCTGGGCAGGAGGCTTAAGGCCAGGAGTTCGAGACCAGCCTGGGCAACATAGAAAGACCCTGTCTTTACAAAAATATATTTTCAACCGGGCGCGGTGGCTCAAGCCTGTAATCCCAGCACTTTGGGAGGCCGAGGCGGGTGAATCACGAGGTCAAGAGATCGAGACCATCCTGGTCAACATGGTGAAATCCCGTCTCTACTAAAAATACAAAACATTAGCTGGGCATGGTGGCGCGTGCCTGTAATCCCAGCTACTCAGGAGGTTGAAGCAGGAGAATTGCCTGAACCCAGGAGGCGGAGGTTGCGGTGAGCCGAGATCGCGCCATTGCACTCCAGCCTGGGTAACAAGAGTGAAACTCCGTCTCAAAAATAAATTAATTAATTAAATATATATATATGTATTCTTTTTTTTTTTTTTCACTTAGTCAGATGTGGTGTAGTCCTAGCTACCCAGGAGGCTGAGGCAGGAGGATTACTTGAGCCCAAAAAGTCAAGGCTGAGGTGAACAATGAATGCCCCACTGTATTCCAACCTGGGCAACAGAGCAAGATTCAATCTCAAAAATAAATAAATAAATAAATAAATGTTTACTTTTTAAGTAAATCCTAATAGTTTACCATAAGTTCCAGAGCAAAGCCTGTGGGCAATGCATTTATTTTAAGTTACAGTCCTTTGTACCTATTAGGAACTCAAAAAATTTTATGGACAAATGGAACAGCTGTTGAATGGACAAGTAAACACAGATATTAACTAGAGTAACAGTTAGTTTTAAAAGTATAAAGAGGGCCAGGTGTGGTGGCTCACACATGTAATTCTAGCATTTTGGGAGGTTGAGGTGGGTGGATCACTTGAGGTCAGGAGTTTGAGATCAGCCAACATGGTAAAACCCCATCTCTGCTAAAAATACAAAAATCAGCTGGGCGTGGTGGTGCATGTCTGCAGTCCCCGATACTTGGAAGGCTGAGGCAGGAGAATTGCTTGAACCTGGGAGGCAGAGGTTGCAGTGAGCCGAGATCATGCCACTGCACTCCAGCCTGGGCGACAGAGTGAGACTCCATCTCAAAAATAAAAGTATAAAGAGGTTTCTAGAGTGTGCAGGAAGCTGAAGTGGCTAGTTCTAGAGATGACAGAATTGGCTGTAACAAATCAGAGCACAAATCTGCACAAGAGGAAGCACCCCCGCTTGATTACTAAAGGGAGAAGAGGCTTGCCACCAAGAGGAAGAAGTACAAGAAGGAAGCAGACAGAACAGTTCCTAGAGATTTATTATATGATCTGTGTTTCTTCTTTGGCTGTTTGCTTTGCCCTATATGCACACAAACTAGAGATTTCTGTAATCTGCATGCTTCTTCTTTGGCTTTTGTTTCACCACACACACACGTACTCAAATAATCAAGTGGCCTAAATAGAGAGGTTAGAAACCAATCAGTAAGAAATCAGAAGCCCTGTGAGTCTACTCCTCCCTGACCCTATCTGATTTGGAGCTACAGTCGAGCGCCTAGGAGGAAGACAAGCATGAAGGAAGAACCTTAATGAAGAGCTTCTAGGAAAGTTCAGAGGTCCCGGAGGAACTTGGTGCACAGCCAAAGCGCTCACAAAGGCCTAAGCACTAGCTTTCCAGAACAACTGGAAGATAGCCACAGCCACCTTCCAGCTTTGCCATCACAGAAAGTTAATTACTTGTTGCAGCCGCACTGTCAGCATCATCCTAGGGGAAAAAAAAAAGACAAAGCACCTGCAGACTCTGCAAAGCGGGAACACTGTGTTCACAAATACTGCTCCCTCCCTCCTGCTCTCCTAGTTTCTTTTTGTGATTTCCTAAACTACCCAACTTACGGGGCCAATACGGAAAGGTTTTAACTTACTTTGGATAATAAGTAAAAAAATGCTACTTTGTCATACATCATTAGTTTCAGGATTTTTGTTGTTTGTTGTTGTTGTTTTGAGACAGGGTCTTGCTTCATCACCCAGGCTGCAGTGCAGTGGCATGATCTCAGCTCACTGCAACCTGTGCCTCACAGTCTCAAGCCATCCTGCCACCTCAGCCTCTTGAGTAGCTGGGATTATAGGCTACCACGCCTGGCTAATTTTTGTATTTTTGGTAGAGATAGGGTTTTTTCCTGTTGACCAGGCTGGTCTCGAACTGCTGAGCACAAGCAATCCACCTGCCTCAGCCTCCCAAAGTGCTGGGATTACAGGCATGAGCCACCATACCTGGCCTAGCTTTAGAATTTTAATTAATGCTATTATTCATTACAGCTGTAGAGACATTCGGCAGGGCCAGGTCTGCTCTAGGATGGACAAACAGGGGGAGATGGAAAGCAGGAGGAAAAGAAAACTTTAGGGTTTTCTAAAGCCTGGAGAAGAATATTAGCCCTCTTGGGCTGGGCGCGGTGGCTCACGCCTGTAATCCTAGCACTTTGAAAGGCTGAGGTGGGTGGATCACCTAAGGTCAAGAGTTAGAGACCAGCCTGAACAACATGGCGAAACCCTGTCTCTACTAAAAATATAAAATTAGCTAGGCATGGTGGCAGGCGCCTATAATCCCAGCTACTCAAGAGGCTCAGGCAGGAGAATTGCTTGAACTGGGGAGGTGGAGGTTGCAGTGAGCCACGATCATGCCACTGCACTCTAGCCTAGGTGAAAGAGTAAAACTCCCCCCACCCACCAAAAAAAATAATATTAGCCCTCTTGGGTCAAATTCAAATTTGGTTAACATGCACTGAGAACTACTCTGTGCTAGGAACTGGGATAGGAGCTTTCTAGTAGGTTATTTTTAAGGGCTACAAAGAAACTGAAGGGTTGAGGGGAAGGCTGTACTTACATCCAGGTCATCCATGGCAGGTGGAGGTCTCTTGGTGCTGACCTTCTTCAAAAGCTAGTGGGAAGAAAAAATAATCATAAGAGAGAAGGGAGTGAAGGAAGAGCAATCTGCACATTGATGGGCCATAGAAGAATGGTCCCAGCCAGAACCGGTTAGGCAATTGCTCCCATCTTTAAAACATCACTGGAATTAATTTGAGAAAAGTAAACTGATCCCTTTTTTTTTTTTTGAGACAGAGTTTCGCTCTTGTTACCCAGGCTGGAGTACAATGGCGCGACCTCAGCTCACCGCAACCTCCGCCTCCTGGGTTCAGGCAATTCTCCTGCCTCAGCCTCCTGAGTAGCTGGGATTACAGGCAGGCGCCACCATGCCTAGCTAATTTTTTGCAGTTTTAGTAGAGACGGGGTTTCACCATGTTGACCAGGATGGTCTCGATCTCTCGACCTTGTGATCCACCCGCCTCGGCCTCCCAAAGTGCTGGGATTACAGGCGTGAGCCACTGCGCCCGGCACTGATCCCCTTTTTAAAAGAAAATGTAAACACACACAGAGCATCCTCCTTACAAATCCAGATTGGAATCTGTTAGTGTTTTTATAACTGAAACCCAATAATATAATGACAGGGTGCGATTTATTGGGAGCCAATGATTTAGAATATGAGTTTTTATACTGCTAGTTTTAACTTCCCATGAAATTGTCTGGCTCAAGAAACACACACACACACACGTGCACAGGCCAGGTGTGGTGGCTCACATTATCTCAGCACTTTAGAAGCTGAGACAGACAGATTTCTTGAGGCCAGGAGTTCAAGACTAGCCTGGCCAATATGTTGAAACCCCATCTCTACCAAAAATACAAAAAAATTAGCCATAGGGGTGGCATGTAATCCCAGCTACTTGGGTGGCTGAGGCATAAGAATCGCTTGAACCTGGGAAGTGGAGGTTGCAGTGAGCCACTGCACTCTAGCTTAGGAGACAGAGCAAGACTCTGTCTCAAAAAGAAAACCACATACACAGGTCAGGCACAATGGCTCATGCCTGTAATCCCAACACTTTGGGAGGCTGATGCAGGCAGATTACCTGAGGTCGGGTGTTTGAGACCAGCCTGACCAACATGTAGAAACCTCTTCTCTGCTAAAATACAAAAAATTAACTGGGTGTAGTGGCACGTGCCTATAATCCCAGCTACTCGGGAGTCTGAGGCAGGAGAATCACCTGAACCTGGGAGGCGGAGGTTGCAGTGAGCTGAGATCATGCCACTGCACTCCAGCCTGGGCAACAGAGTGAGACTCCATCTCAAAAAAAAAAAACAAAAAAAACAAAAAACCCCAAAAAACAAGAATCGGCCGGGCATGGTAGCTCACACCTGTAATCCCAGCACTTTGGAAGGCTGAGGCAGGCAGATCACCTAAGGTTGGGAGTTCGAGACCAGCATGACTAACATGGAGAAATCCCATCTCTACTGAAAATACAAAAAATTAGCCAGGCATGGTGGTGCATGGCTGTAATCCCAGCTACTCAGGAGGCTGAGTCAGGAGAATTGCTTAAAACCCAGGAGGCAGAGGTGGCGATGAGCCGAGATTGCTTCATTGCACTCCAGCCTGGGCCACAAGAGCAAAACTTCTGTCTCAAAAAAAAAAAGTAGCCAGACATGGTGGTGGGTGCCTGTAATCCCAGCTACTCGGGAGGCTGAGTCAGGAGAATCACTTGAACCCGGAGGTGGAGGTTGCAGTGAGCTAAGATCACACAATTGCACTCCAGCCTGGGCGACAAGTGTGAAACTTTGTTTCCAAGAAAAAAAAAGAAAACCACACACACACACACACACACACACACAGAGAGAGAGAGAGAGAGAGAAAATAGGAGAACAAGGATTATAGAAAAGTGGACAAGGTTTTGTCAAACGTCTTCAGAATAGAGGCTCTAGGCTGGGCACAGTGGCTCAGGCCTGTAATCCCAGCACTTTGGGAGGCCAAGGCAGGCGGATCACGAGGTCAGGAGACTAAGACCATCCTGGCTAACATGGTGAAACACTGTCTCTACTGAAAATACAAAAAATTAGTCTGGCATGGTGGCATGTGCCTATAGTCCCAGCTGCTTGGGAGGCTGAGGCAGGAGAATCACTTGAACCCAGGAGGGAGAGGTTGCAGTGAGCTGAGATTGGTCACGCCACCTCACTCCAGCCTGGGTGACAGAGTAAGACTCCATCTCAAAAAAAAAAAAACACAGGCTGTACACTGTGAATAGTAAGTGAATCTATGTATATAATTTCAATAACATTCTTTCCTCTCATCCCTCTTAAATAAACATTGTACGAAATACAAAAAGAATGTCAGCATCAATGAGTAATCTGCCTAGAGAGCTTGCATATCTCTGCCTGGCCCCAGTGACATGTGTGCAGAGACATGTATGCAGAGAAACACAAAGAATGAGCAAATATGCAGAACACAGCAGGTGCTGTCTCTCTCTCACCTCTGCATAATGTTCCACATGAGCCAGCTCCACCTCTTCATCCCCTTCCCAGTCTCTCCAGTTATCAAAGTCCACAGACAGCCACACTGGCTGTAAGAAGAAGCACCAAGAGTCACAGACCAGGAGGGAAGGAGCAGGAGGGTGTGGGAGAATGTGCGCATATGCATTCGAGCATGCGTGGGGAAAAGAGGGTCAGTACGTGCATAGTCCTCTCAACTGCACCCCTTTGACCAGCCCCCACCAGCCTGCAATGTTATCATCATCACCCACAAAGATTTACCAGGAACCTGCTAATCTACACACAATGCTAGGCATCATAGGGTCTGAAAATCTCAGAAGTCCTACCCTCCTGCCAGGAGCGGTGGTTCATGCCTGTAATCCCAGCACTTTGGGAGGCTGAGGCAGGCAGATAATGAGGTCAGGAGTCAAGACCAGCCTGGCCAATATAGTGAAACCCCATCTCTACCAAAAAAAATACAAAAATTAGCAGGGTCTGGTGGTGGGTGCCTGTAGTCCCAGCTACTCGGAGGGCCGAGGCATGAGAATCCGTTGAACCAGGGAGGTAGAGGTTGCAGTGAGCCAAGATTGTGCCACTGCACTCCGGCCTGGGCAACAGAGCAAGACTCCATCTCACAAAAAAAAAAAAAAAAAAAGGTTGGCCGGGCGCGGTGGCTCAAGCCTGTAATCCCAGCACTTTGGGAGGCCGAGGCAGGTGGATCACGAGGTCAAGAGATCGAGACCATCCTGGTCAACATGGTGAAACCCCGTCTCTACTAAAAATACAAAACATTAGCTGGGCATGGTGGCACATGCCTGTAATCCCAGCTACTGAGGAGGTTGAGGCAGGAGAATTGCCTGAACCTGGGAGGCGGAGGTTGCGGTGAGCCGAAATCGCGCCATTGCACTCCAGCCTGGGTAACAAGAGTGAAACTCCGTCTCAAAAAAAAAAAAAGGTTTACCTTCCAGGAGCAGATTGACTGAGACAACACATCTGGAAAGATAACTGTATCATAAAGCAACATAGGAGTCAACCAACCAGACAGACAAGCTGTGGCTGGGCATGGCAGCTCACATCTGTAATCCCAGCACTTTGGGAGGCCAAGGCAGGTGGATCACCTGAGGTCAGGAGTTCGAGACCAGACTGGCCAACATGGTAAAACTCTATCTCTACTAAAAATACAAAATTAGCTGGGCATGGTGGCGCATGCCTGTAATCCTAGCTGCTTGGGAGGCTGAGGCAGGAGAATAGCTTGAACTCTGCAGGTGGAAGTTGCAGTGAGCTGAGATTGTACCATTGCACTCCAGCCTGGGCAATAGAGCTATACTCTGCCTCAAAACAACAACAAAAAAATCTGAGAGCCAGATCCAGCCATCAGGCAGTCAGTTTTCAACCTTTACGGAAGGAGCCATTGGTGGGCCTTGTATGGGAGAGTGTCAGGGTCAAATGTGTGTTTTACACAGACCATGCTGGGGGCAATGCAGAGGATGGATTGAAAATGGGGCTGAAAATATGCAACAAACTTCTCACCCTATGAAGGATGAGGCTTGAACAAGGAAGAAATTAAGTAGTGAATTCAATAATATTTAGGAGATCAGTAAATCCTGGTTGTAAGCCACTATGAGAAAGAATAGGATTCAAAAGGGCTGGATACAATGGCCCATGCCTGTAATCCCAGCACTCTGGGAGGCTGAGGCAGGAAGATCACTTGAAGTCTGAAGTTTGAGACCAGCCTGGTCAACATGGTGAAACCCTGTCTCTACTAAAAATACAAAAAATTAGCCGGGCCTGGTGGTGAGCACCTGTAATCCCAAGCATATGGGAGGCTGAGAACCACTTGAACCCGGGAGGTGGAGGCTGCAGTGAGCTGAGATAGTGGCATTGCACTCCAGCATGAGCAACAAGAGAGAAACTCGGTCTCAAAAAACAAAAGAAAGAATAAGACTCATCGGGCCGGGCACAGTGGTTCACGCCTGTAATCCCAGCACTTTGGGAGGCCAAGGTGGGCAGATCATGAGGTCAAGGATCAAGACCATCTGGGCCAACATGGTGAAACCCCATCTCTACTAAAAATACAAAAATTAGCCAGGCATGGTGGTGTGTGCCTGTAATCCCAACTACTTGCGAGGCTGAGACAGGAAAATTGCTTGAAACTGGAAAACGGAAGTTTCAGTGAGCCGGGATCCCGCCACTGCACTCCAGCCTGGTGATAGGGCAAGACTCCATCCAAAAAAGAATTTAAAAAATAAATACACACCTGTAATCCCAGCACTTTGGGAGGCTGAGGCAGGCAGATCACCTGAGGTCAGGAGTTTGAGACCAGCCTAACCAATATGGTGAAACCCCATCTTAAAATAAATAAATAAATAAATAAATAAGAAAGAAAGAATAAGACTCATCAATTAACTTCTATAGTGGAAACTACTTCTGGGACTGCGATATAAAAAAAGAATCAGGGGCCGGGCGTGGTGGCTCATGCTTGTAATCCCAGCACTTTGGGAGGCAGAGGTCGGTGGATTATGAGGTCAGGAGTTCAAGACAAGCCTGGCCAATATGGTGAAACACTGTCTCTACTAAAAATGCAAAAATTAGCTGGGTGTGGCAGCACACACCTGTAATCCCAGCTACTCGGGAGTCTGACACAGGAGAATCACCAGAACCTGGGAGACGGAGGTTACAGTGAGCCGAGATCACACCACTACACTGTAGCCTGGACAACAGAGCGAGACTGTCTTAAAAAAAAAACAAAAAACAACAACAAAAAAAACAAGAATCGGCCAGGTGCAGTGGCTCACACCTGTAATCCTAACACTTTGGGAGGCTGAGGTGGATGGATCACCTGAGGTCAGGAGTTCAAGACCAGCCTGGCCAACATGGCGAAACCCCATCTCTACTAAAAATACAAAAATTAGCTGGGTGTGGTGGTACACACCTGTAATCCCAGCTATTCAGGAGACTGAGGAAGGAGAATTGCTTCAACCTGAGAGGTGGAGGTTGCAGTGAGCCAAGATCTCACCACTGCACTCCAGCTTGTGCCACAGTAATGATACTCCATCTCAAAAACAACCAAGAATCAAAGGTTTTGATTGTGAGTTACAGTAACAGGAATGGCCATGTTAGCAGTGCCAACGTCTGAAGTGAAGTCTCACCCATTTAAGCACCTACAATGGAAGCAGTTAATTGGGAGAGATTACCAAGAGAATAAAAAGAGACTCAGGACAAATAGCTAATACATGCAGGGGTTAAAACCTAGGTGACAGGTTGATAAATGCAGCAAACCACTGTGGCACATGTATACCTATGTAACAAACCTGAACCTGCACATTCTGCACATGTATCCCAGAATTTAAAGTAAAAAAATAAATAAGTCAGGTTCGGTGGCTAATGCCCATAATCCCAGCACCTTGGGAGGCCAAGGCCGGTGGATCACCTAAGGTCAGCAGTTCAAGACCAGCCTGACCCAACATGGAGAAACCCCGTCTCTACTAAAAATACAAAATTAACCAGGTGTGGTGGCACATGCCTGTAATCCCAGCTACTCGGGAAGCTGAGGCAGGAGAATCGTTTGAACCAGGGAGGTGGAGGTTGCAATGAGCTGAGATCACGCCATTGCACTCCAGCTTGGGTAACAAGAGTGAAACTCTGACTCAAAAAATAAATAAATAAATGAATATAAATAAAAATAAGAGAGACTAATACAGGCCGGGCGCGGTGGCTCAAGCCTGTAATCCCAGCACTTTGGGAGGCTGAGGCAGGTGGATCACGAGGTCAGGAGATCGAGACCATCCTGGTCAACATGGTGAAACCCCGTCTCTACTAAAAATACAAAAAAAACATTAGCTGGGCATGGTGGTGCGTGCCTGTAATCCCAGCTACTCAGGAGGTTGAGGCAGGAGAATTGCCTGAACCAGGACGCGGAGGTTGCGGTGAGCTGAGATCGCGCCATTGCACTCCAGCCTGGGTAACAAGAGCAAAACTCTGTCTCAAAAAAAAAAAAGAGAGACTAATACAGTCAGAAAAAAATAAAAAGAACATTTAGGCAGGACTTGGTGAATGACTGAATGTTGGCTGGAAAGGAGGCAAGAAGAAAAGGCCAATCCCAGCTCTAACCTGGGTACGGAGAGAAGGAGCAGGCCACTTTCCACACCCACCTTGATATCCTCCTTGGTAAGCCGGGGCCAGGCCACCTTTTCCTTCCATTTCCTCACAAAGCAGGTAATAGAGCGGGAAGAGCGCTTATCCTGGGAGTCCTGCCAGATAAAGAGCCTCATTCTTAGGGTCTGAGGTTTAGCATTAATCTCCAGTTTCCCTGGGCAGCTCAGTTTCCATCCAGACCGTACTGTCCCTTCTCACCCTTACCTTGGAGTTCACTTTGGCATAGAACTCAATTTCATTGTACAATTCCACTCCATCGGCATTCTTGCAGCTGAGGAGACAATGAAGCTGAGGAGATGCAGAATACTCTGTGTGGGGGCATCAGGAGAAGAAGGAGGTTTCCGGGAAGGCAGGCCCTCAGAGGGGAGGGCCACTACCTGAACACAATGCGGTGATCCTCAATAAGCACGTGGACATCGGTACTGTCCTCAACACAAAACTCCATGAACACATACTTGGGCCTGTCGTACCACAGGGTCCTGGCATGCTGCCTGAAAAGACGTTGAGGTGGAGAGGGAAAGCTGAGGGCATTTGGGAAAGATGGAGGGAGGAGACTACCCAGGGACGTTTGATGCCACAGTTTTTTCTTTTTTTTTTTAATTAAATTTAACTATTTATTTTTTAAGAGACGGGGTCTTGCTATGTTGCCCAGGCTGGAGTGCAGTGGCTATTCACAGACGCGATCCCACTAATGATCAGCACTGGAGTTTTGACCTGTTCGGTTTCCGACCTGGGCCGGTTCACCCCTCCTTAGGCAATCTAGTGGTCCCCCGCTCCCGGGAGGTTACCATATTGATGCTGAACTTAGTGCGGACACCCGATCGATCGGCATAGCGCACTACAGCCCAGAACTCCTGGGCTCAAGCGATCCTCCCACCTCAGCCTCCCGAGTAACTGGGACTACAGGCACGCGCCACCGCGCCCGGGGATGCCACAGTTTTTTCAAAGTGGATCTAAATAAGGTGGGGGGCGGGGAGGGAAGGGAAAGACCGGAGTGGGTGGGTGTGGTGAATGTGAACCTGGGAAGAATATAAAGTGTAAGACTAGGGAAGTAGGGGGTCAGGGAGAACATTCAGGTCACACCTCCCCTCACCCCACAGTTACAGAAACCAGGGGTCTGGGGTTCCCATAGAGTCTCACAGAACCTGGAGCGCCCAGGAGAAGGCCTGGAGCAGGGACTCTCCAGGGAAAAGGGCCAGGGGGAGCACCGGAGCCGGAAACACTCACCGTGCCATTGCGGCTCCCGCTCCAGGGTGGCATTTAGAGTTCTGGGCAAGGGACGCTATCTTTAGATCCTAAGGACGCCCCCAGCTGCTGCCTCTCCTTATATGGTCGGGAGAACAGCTGAGAGGAAGGGAGAAAGCGACCTGACAGCCAAGGGATCTGCATTCTGGAGATATTCTGGGAGAGCTTAATCCTTGCAGCCCTTCACCCTGGGGTCTTCAGAAATGCACAGACTAGGAACAGACAACCCACCTGCAGGAACCAGGGCAAAGGCTGCCCTAGACGCTACACACTGGGAATGACTTTTCCCCAGTTACATTCACCTGTTTCTCCCAGGCTTAGCGCTCAGTGCCCGATTCACAATAGGCGCTCAAGAAAACATTATTGGCCTGAATTAAATCCCCAAGGAAGCCGCGCCCCAGGGACTTCGGAACTTTAGGCCCCGCCCGCCGCTATTCCGGGGTTCCAGGCCACCGCACCGTTGCCATGGCAGCGGGAGGGGGGGGCGCGGCTGACGTGCAGCGGCGTTTCCGGGAAGATGGCGGCTGTCGAAGCGGCTGCGGAGCGGGTAATGGTGGTGGCGGCTGTTGAGCCAAAGGCGAAAGACGAAGAGGAGGAGGAAGAAGAACCGCTGCCACCGTGCGAGGCGGTGCGCTGGGCCCCAGTGGGGGCTGTGGCGGAGGCCCGGCCTGGGGCAACTGCGTTTCTGGAAGAGGCGGCGGCCGAGGAGCCTGGCGCGGCCCCCGGCTCCCCGCCGGATTCGCCGGGCCGGACGCTGCGACGGCTGCGGGCCGAGCGGCGGCGGCTGGACTCGGCGCTGCTGGCGCTGTCCTCGCACTTCGCGCAGGTGCAGTTCCGTTTGCGCCAGGTGGTGCGCGGGGCGCCGGCGGAGCAGCAGCGCCTTCTGCGGGAGCTCGAAGACTTCGCCTTCCGTGGCTGCCCTCATGTCCTGGGTTACGAGGGGCCCGGGGACCCCGCCAGCGATGAAGGCGATGGGCTGCCAGGGGACCGGCCACGGTTGCGGGGCGAGGACCAGGTGAGTGGCTGAAGCCGGGCCGCTAGGGACATGGGAATAGGGGGTCGTGTGGGTGGCGATGCAGACCCGGATGATGGTGCATGAAGGGGAGAAGCCTCGCCGACTCTGTCGGGTGAGTAAGTGGGTCGGAGATGAGGAGACCGGAGTGCGGGTCCGGGTGAAGGGCAAGAGTACAGAGGCTTGGGAACCTGAGGGTGAGCGGTGTGCGCGGAAGACGTGGAGAGATGCCAGTGTGTGATGACGTGAGGGGCAGAGGAGCGGTGAGCGAAGTGAGTAATTAAGAGGGCCGCAGAGCAACCAGTGCAGTGCTGCTCCCACTCACCTTTCCCTCACGTACCTGTCTTGAGCACTTTTGCTGCTAGAGGACCCCGACTCTGGAGATCGGGAAAATTGGCAAACGAAAGAAAAGTGAATTGGAATCCGTGGAAATTTAGGTTAACTCCCTGTCCCTTCTTTCCTAAAATCTAAGCAAAGTCTTTACACTTCTCTGGGTGAGAGTTTTGGTTAATAGCAGAGTCTATTAGTAATTGAAAGAAACACAACTCTGGATTATATAAATTTCCTAATACTGGAATTTTTAATTTTTTTTTAATGAACAAAGTCTCCAAGAAGTTTTTTTTGTTTTTTTTTTTTTTTGTGAGGAATTTTTCTTTTTTTTTTTCTTTTTTTTTTTTTTTTGAGACAGAGTCTCGCTCCATCGCTGGGAGCCAGGCTGGAATGCAGTGGCGAGACCTCGGCTCACTGCAACCTCCGCCTCCCGGGTTCACGCAGTTCTCCTGCCTCAGCCTCCCGAGTAGCTGGGACTACAGGCATGTGCCACCACGCCCAGCTAATTTTTGTATTTTTAGTAGAGACGGGGTTTCACCATGTTGACCAGGATCGTCTCGATCTCTTGACCTCATGACCCGCCCGCCTCAGCCTCCCAAAGTGCTGGGATTACAGGCATGAGCCACCGCGCCCGGCGGAATTTTTCATTTTTTAGAGAGGGGATCTCACTATGTTGCCCAAGCTGGTCTCGAACTCCTGGTGTCAAGCCATCGTCCCTCCTCAGCTGCAGGACTACAGGCGTGCGCCACCGTGCAGGCTGTAATGTTGGAATTTTTAAACTCTTCCTCCATCCTGCTTAATCTTTAGGTATTCTAAATGAGGTCCTCTGGTAACTGTGACAAGGTCGATTCAGTGTGCCTACTCCAAAAGTAGTGATACTGTGTATAAGACCCAGGTGAACGTTTCCTTACAAGCTTTGCATCTCTGGAAGTGCGCAAACTGCAGGCTTTTTTGGAAGTGTTGAGGCGTAGGCCAGAGTGCTGTGGCACAATTTTGGCTTACTGCAACCTCTGTCTCCTGGGCTCAAGCAGTCCTGCCTCAGCCTCCCCAGTATCTGAGACTACAGATGTGTGCCACCATGGCCAGTTAATTTTGTTTATTTTTTGTAGAGATGGGGTTTCACGGTGTTGCCCAGGCTGTCTCCAACTCCTGAACTCAAACAATCCGCCCTCCTCAGCCTACCAAAGTGCTGGGATTATAGGTGTGAGCCACCATGCCCGGTCCCTTTTCACCTTTTTATTCTTCAAACTACATCCCACATGTGGCTTTCTTCCCACTTACATTGGTTTTAGCCAAGAGGATTTCTCAGCACCCGATAATGATTTATTTTAATCTGAACTGTTCCCAGTACAATCCCGTGTTTACTGTTCCACCCTTCTCCACATACCCACAACTCCTTACACAAGGAGCAGCCACCTCAAACTGGCAGATTTAAGGGCTGGAAAGGAGTAGACAGCACTAAAGATTCTATGTGATAAGAAACTCTTTCTGTTGTTCATTTTCACCTTCAGAAACAGTAGGCCAACCCCATTTCCCATGCTGTGTGATTACAAGCATGCAATGTGTCATAATCACACATTGCATGCCTGTAGCAACATCTCATGTACCTTTTAAATATACATGCATACTATGTACCCATAAAAATTAAAAACTAAAATTTTATTTTATTTTTTTTTGAGACGGAGTTTCGCTCTTGTTACCCAGGCTGGAGTGCAATGGCGCGATCTCGGCTCACTGCAACCTTCGCCTCCTGGGTTCAGGCAATTCTCCTGCCTCAGCCTCCTGAGTAGCTGGGATTACAGGCACGTGCCACCATGCCCAGCTAATTTTTTGCATTTTTAGTAGAGACGGGGTTTCACCATGTTGACCAGGATGGTCTCGATCTATTGACCTCGTGATCCACCCGCCTCGGCCTCCCCAAAGTGCTGAGATTACAGGCTTGAGCCACTGCGCCCGGCCCTAAAACTAAAATTTTAAAAAGTAGACTGCCTGCAGTGGCTCATGACTGTAATCCTAACACTTTGGGAGGCGAAGGCTAGAGGAGGATCACTCGAGCCCGGGAGTTCAAGGCTGCAGTGAGCTATGATCATCCCACTGCACTCCAGCCTGAATGACAGAGCAAGACCAGTGCCATGCACACCAAGGCCTTCAGTTCTGAGTCTGCACTGCACTTAAAAGGGTCGTGCTCTGTCAGCACCATGCTGATGGCTGTCAGCAGGCTGTGTTTGGGGGTCTCAAAAAGGAAAAAAGAAACATTGTACCACCTTAAAACAACAACAACAACAAAAAAAAGCGCTCAATATCTACCTACAAGTTGTAATCTTATATTTATACATTGACAGGCAAACAGGTAGGACTAGAGTAGGGGATATCTTTGAACTGAATTATTTACTTCTTACCACTTACTGTTTTTTTCTCTTTTTTTATTATTATTATTATTTTTTTTTGAGACAGGGTCTCACTCTGTTGCCCAGGCTAGAGTGCACTGATATGTTCGGGGCTCACTGCAGCCTTGACTCCCAGGCTTAGTAGATCCTCCTACCTCAGTGTCTCAAGTCATTGGGACCACAGGCGAGCACCACCACGCTCAGCTAGTTTTTTTATTTTTTCTAGAGATGGGGTTTCACCATATTCCCCAAGATGGTCTTGAACTCCTGGGCTCAAGCAGTCCACCTACATTGGCCACTTAAAGTACTGGATTACAGGCATGAACCACTGTAACCAGCCTTTTTTTAAATTTTTTTTTTTTTTGAGACAGAGTCTCATTCTGTCACCCAGGCTGGAGTGCAGTAGCATCTTGACTCTTGACTCACTGCAACCTCCGCCTCCTGGGTTCAGGTGATTCTCCTGCCTCAGCCTCCCAAGCAACTGGGAATATGAGCGCTTGCCACCATGCCCAGCTAATTTTGTATTTTTAGTAAAGACAGGGAGGGTTTCGCTATGTTGGCCAGGCTGGTCTTAAACTCCTGACCTCAGGTGATCTGCCTGCCTCAGCCTCCCAAAGTGCTGGGATTACAGGCATGAGCTACGGGTGCTCAGTCATACTTTTCCTTTTCTTTTCTTTTCTTTTTTTTTTTTTTTTTTTTTGAGATGGAGTCTCGCTCTGTCTTCCAGGCTGGAGTGCAGTGGTGTGATCTTGGTTCACTGCAACCTCCACCTCTTGGGTTCAAGTGATTCTTCTGCCTCAGCCTCTTGAGTAGCTGGGATTACAGGTGTGTGCCACCATACCCGGTAGCTAATTTTTGTATTTTTAGTGAGACAGGGTTTCACCATGTTGGTCAGGCTGGTCTTGAATTCCCGACCTCATGATCCGCCTGCCTCGACCTCCCAAAGTGCTGGGATTTACAGGCGTGAGCCATTGTGCCGGCCACACTTTTCTTAATTCAGTTCAGTAACAAACATACAACAGATGCACATTGAGAGCTTATCTTGTGCCAGACACTGTGCCTGGCATTTGTGGTTCAAAGTCAAAACCTTTGTCCTTAAGAAGTTCGTAGACTAGAAGAGACAGAATCCTAAATAACGTCATAAGAGCTAGAATAGAAGTGTGTACAAACTCTAGAGGAAATAATTAGTTATGTCTGGGGAAATCAGGAAACCTCTTAAAGGAAAACTAGGCCTTCACCCCAAATGGGGAAGGGGGACAGGTTTCTAACAAAATGCAGCAGCGCTTTGAAAGGATTACAGAGGGACTGTCCTGAGAAAAGGCTTGCTTTCATGTTGAACAAAGTCAAAGCAAGTGGATTGCCTTTTAAATACTTAAATGAAAAGTTAATTTGTTGTTTTCTCTTTTTTTTCATTTCTTCTCTCTCATTTCTGGAGGGCTTGGTAAGTACTGTTTTGAAGGTTAAATGTAATACCCTGTAGACTTCTATTTTAAGACGCAGCCTTACCCCTACAAATGATTTGCTGGTTTTGCTTTTCGTTTTTGAGACTCAGGAAAGACAAGGAAGAACCAGTGTTTGAGAATACGTTGGCAAGACTTTACCAACCTGAAGTGTTTTTATTAATTTAAATGCAGAAACTACTGGTGACCAACAGTTGGAAAAGGAGTCACTAGTCAGGGAAACTTATAGATACTTTTCTTTTCTTTTTCTTTTTTTGTGACAGAGTCTCGCTCTGTTGCCAGGCACCAGGCTGGAGTGCAGTGGTGCAATCTCAGGTCACTGCAACCTCTGCCTCCCGGAGTCAAGCAGTTCTCCTGCCTCAGCCTCCCAAGTAGCTGGGGCTACAGGTGCATGCCTCCACACCCAGCTAATTTTTGTATTTTTTAATAGAGACGGGGTTTCACCATGTTGGCCAGGATGGTCTCAATCTCTTGATCTCATAATCTGCCCCCCTCGGCCTCCCAAAGTGCTGGGACTACAGGTGCGAGCCACCACGCCTGGCCCAGATACTTTTTAAAAAAACATTGTTACCTTCCCACCCCAGTTATGTGGCTTTTGGATTTTTTTCACTGCCCCAGGCACTTGCCTTTCATTGTTTTGTTTTTGGTTTTGGTTTTTTGAGACAGAGTCTTGCCCTATTGCCAAGGCTGGAGTGCAGTGGTGAAAACAACCTCCTAGACTCAAGCGATCATCTTTTCCCAGTTGCTTGTATGGCTGGGACCACAGGCACATGCCACCACGCCGGGCTAATTTATTTATTTATTTATTTTTTTGAGACAAGGTCTTGCGAAGCCTTGACCTCTTAGGCTTAAGCAATCCTCCCACCTCAGCCAAGTAGCTGGGACTACAGGCATGCAACACCATGCCCAGCTAATTTTTTTTTTTTTTTTTTTTTTTTACTGTCCTTCGTCAAATCATATTTCCCAAATGCCCAGCTAATTTTTAAAATTTTTTTGTGGAGCTGGGACTGGTGGCTTACATCTATAATCCCAGAACTTTGGGAGACAAAGGTGGGCAAATCACGAGGTCAGGCGTTCAAAACCAGCCTGGCTAACCTGGTGAAACCCTCTCTTACCAGGTGGTAAGGCTGAGGCAGGAGAATCGCTTGAACCTCGGAGGCAGAGGTTGCAGTGAGCCAAGATCGCGCAACTGCACTCCGGCCCAGGTGACAGTGCAAGACTCCGTCTCAAAAATAAAAATAAAAATTGTGGAGATGAGGTCTCACTATGTTGCCCAGGGTGGTCTCAAACTGCTGGGCTCAAGGAATCCTCTTGCCTTGGCCTCTTAGAGTGCTGCAATTACAGGCATGAGGCACCACTCCTGGTGTGTTTGATGCTTTTGATTTTGCAGAAGTGGTCTATCATCCATCATAGGGGCTTTGGTGAACATTAGGAAAGCTGGCTGTGAGTTTTAAAGCCTCTCTCCACACCCTTACCCCAGATTCTTTTTATTTTTTATTATTTATTTATTTATTTATTTATTTTTAAAGATGGGGTTTCACCATGATGGCCAGGCTAGTCTTGAACTCCTGACCTCAGGTGATCCACGCACCTCGGCCTCCCAAAGTGCTAGGATTACAGGCGTGAGCCACAGCGCCTGGCCTACCCCAGATTCTTTTGCAAAATTTGGCTGCACAAAGTAATCAGGAGTTGTGTTATGGCAACTGGCTGCAGAGGATGGCGTGTCTAATTCCTAGGAGGCTATCTTGGCTGAAATAGGTTGTCTGTACCCTAACTAGACCTTTGAGGGGAAAAAAAGGCAGTCTTAACAAAAAGCCTCATTATATTCATATCCTATTTCCAATGAGGGGCAGATAGTTTCTTAAAGAAAATGGCCATTTAACAAATTGCCAAAGATGAAATAATTATTCTTCTTTTGAACCTATCATATGAATTGTGTATTTCATTTGGATTATTGGAAACATCTTCTATTTTGTTGGTCATTACTGGCTTGAGCAGCTTCTTAATGTGCCCTGAGTTCTTCTTTTTCTGTGTAATAGACCCAGTTATCTTCTTGCTTTAGAGTGAGCAGGCAAAACAAGAGCGTCTGGAAACCCAAAGGGAAAAGCAGAAAGAACTGATACTGCAGCTCAAGACCCAGCTAGATGACCTGGAAACGTTTGCCTATCAAGAGGGCAGTTATGACTCCCTGCCACAGTCCGTGGTTTTGGAAAGGCAGCGGGTGAGCAGAGCCCAGGGGCACCTCCACCACTGCCCAAGGTTAACTTGTCCCTTCCAGCATTCACAGGGCATCTTCTCTCACTTCTCCTTTGGCCTTACTGAGAATCCCTCTGCTGGGAACTAAAAGGGAACTACTATAAGGGAGCCATTCTTTGCTCATACATGGAAAAAACGGGTTCCAAAGTTTTGTGATACAATAATTGAGCTCTTTCTTTTTGATGGTTGTAATTAATAATAGAAGTAAGAATATAACAATAATTTCTTCATTTGAGCACTGGAAAACATTCTGCTTGGGCCCATCATACAGTGTAATCTAGTTTTTTTCCTACATCTCATCACCTTTTGATAAATATGCCAGGAATCCAGACTAACTTTAATACTGTATTTATGTAAGACCTGGGTAGACAGGTAAATATCTGCTGGTAGAGATAGAGTTACAATACAGTTACAACCTCCTCTGCATGTTTCTCTAGCCCTGTGCTGTGGCTGTTTTTCTAGCTGAGCTGGAGTTTATCTTTTTTTTTTTTTTTTTTGAGACAGAGTCTTGCTTTGTCGCCCAGGCTGGAGTACAGTGGTGCAATCTTGGCTCACTGCAACCTCCACCTCAGGTTTAAGCGATTTTCCTGTCTCAGCCTCCCAAGTAGCTGGGATTACAGGCACCAACCACTATGCCTGGCTAATTTTTGTATATTTAGTAGATACGGGGTTTCACCATGTTGGCCAGGCTGGTCTCGAGCTCCTGACCTCAAAATGATCTGATTACCTTGGCCTCCCAAAGTGCTGGGATTACAGGTGTGAGCCACTGTACCTGGCCTGTTACCAGAATTTTAAATTGTTCCTAATAATGTCACTAGGATATTTTGACTATAATACACCTTGATATTTTATAGAGATTTTTCTTTTCTTTTTTTTTTTTTTTTTTTTTTTTTTT